GTGCAGATGCATGACCGAGCGCCTTCAGCTAGATGGGTCCACTAAAACATATGGTCAGCATCCAATGTCGAAAACTTAGAGCTATTTATTTTGGGGATTTATTTACCGCTACAACTGTATGGTTCTCAGTTTTCACTGAGAAATTCTGTAGTTTCGCGTTCAAATACATTTAGTTGTTCTCGTTCACAATATTACTACCTCAATATACTCCTGAAATCCTTCGTCTTCCCTTTTCTTCGATTCACATATTTATATAGGGGTTTCGGCTGTTATACAGGCTCTCAACGAGCTTTAATCCATAAGGCCATTAAGACTTACGCACGGCCGAGACAAAAGCGTTTCGTGCTTCTGATTGTAACAGAAGGGATGCTCAAAAATCCCTTCACATGGTTTTTTTGAAAAGTATTGTTATTTATTTGTTCTTTTGCCTCGTTGTGTGCATTAATATCCACTCAGGGTTATTGCAACCACGTTCTAAGTTCTTATCACTTGTCTCCTAGATCTTTGTGATATACGTTGCACACACGATGCTTTTGGAAAAGTTGCTAGATCCATGCAACGGTGCTTGCGAGAACGTAAATCAAACAGCTAGCGAAGAATAGATGAAAACAGTGATTTTTGACGTGAGATCAATGACAAAAATCCTGAGTCAATGATTTTTCTAATAATAAAGCTAACTGATGTCAAAAATCTAGTCTTACACGTATATACAGACCAAAAGCGTGCATTTGTTACAAATGAAGCATGCACAGATAACTGAGTTCGTCTTGTTTGCATAGATTGCGATGATGAGTTAGATGTATGGTTTCCGGAAGTACATTGACAACTATCACCACTTAGATCCTAAAAACATGCATTTGACCCCAATGCACTGCGTGTATGTCCATATGTATAAAAAACGCTAACAAAAAAATACATTAGGTTTGGGTCATCGTTCATTTTAAATAATAATATGACATAGTGTGCGTACAATTTAAATGGAATTATTATTCACATAAATCTTATTACCACATATATTTCTATCAGATAGGCCTTAAAATTTGCCTACTGGTAAATTGTCACGAAAGCGAAACAACATTGAAGTTTAACCCTACAACATGTACCACTAAGATAGTATAAATTTCATCACTTGAGAGATACATTTTGTCAGAAATAGTGCGCTTAAACTAGATGTAAGCACGATGTAACTTCTTGCTCGTCATGTTATGCGTATTATTCCATCCCTACTCAAAATGTGTTCATCAAAAGTGCTAAACCTCAAATTACTGATTTTCATGTAGAACGAGTTTTATTGCAACTATTTTCCAAATCAATCATTTTATTTTATCAACTGAGCTTTACTCACTATAATCCTATCAATAATTATTCATTATGTAATCATTTGTTTCTAGCCGTCTGAACTGTTGTCACAATGTTGTAGAATGTTCTTTTATCATATAAGGTATATATTTACAATATTCAGTCTATTTTATTTCCACCCTTGCTGTACTTTATGAATAGGTCTTCAATAGAACTCCCAACCAAACACATTCATGTAAGTAATTTAAACCCATTATATAATCATGATCTTAAATATCACAGATTGTAAGTAGTTGAAGAGAACCTATGAAGTGAAAATGAACCCATGCTATTCTGTCAGAATCTTTATTCTTGCACTTATTAAAATGATAAAGGGAATTATGTGTATGGAAAAAGATATTATGTGGAATGAACAGAAAAGAATATTTAAAGTGTCAGGAGACCAATCATGATAATAACAATAATATGAACATAAACAGATTTGGATATTTACATAGAAAATTTGAACAAGCAGAATCTCAAAGGTTTTACTTTATTTTAAAGTCTGTCAAATAGATACCGGACCTTGTTTCTCATTCGTAATCACACTGATACTTAATAGGTAACATAGGCCATTTTCAGAAAGTCATCAGTTTACCAAATGGTTAACTTATTTGCTTCTTGAAACAACCGTCTTCATTTGTGTGTGGATGATCTTTTTTATTTTCATATTGCAAATGTAGTATGTTCTGGTACCAAAATCCCTACTGGACTGAGACGAGTGAGCTCACTCGGATCACATGATACACACTCATAAATAACTACTTATTTGGCTTGAATTAGTACTGTCGAGTAGCTAGACTGCCGACCATTGTGTATTACGAATCTCTAGAATCGTATGGAAACAATGAAAAATCACCTCAAATAAACCAATCCATCTGTACAGGCTCGCCAAAGGGATTGACTAGTTATTTCAATCTAATCGCCCACCGATAACTATTTTACTCGACGTAAACCACGAGTTATCGTCTTACATCTTCTCTTTCGATCGCTTTGTCTAATATCCATAGGGGCAATGTGCTGGATATCTAAATGGTCGGTTATGCGAATACCACATATCCCCATGGATTATTTTTTTAGATTTATAATTAATGAATCGACTGACTAAACTGAAAACACCATGCACATTCAAAAATTGTTGTAATATTGCGTGCTGGATCCGATTCTTATTGGATTTAGACTATTTGTCGAAACTGGCTGTGCATATCTCGGAACTTTTGATTTATCTGAATTCAGATAATCATCTGCACTAGTCTAATTATATCACTGAATGTTTTATGTTTATAATACTTCATAACATTTGGCATCTATATATTCACTTAAACTAACCATGTTGTATCGTAAAAACGTCACATCCAAGTCTGTTGTAAAAGTACGATATAATTAGCAGCTTTATATGACAACATAATACTATGGGAATGTGTCTTAATTCTAGGAGACGTATAACTTGAACTACTTATTTGTTCTAACTGGTATTGCTATTTATTCCTAAGTGTTATGTACTAAACTGACTAAAGCAATTTTTTATGAATTTAAATAAAACCAGAACAAATATTGATGCAGAATAATATGAATTCATTATATTTCGAGGTTTCTCGTCAGTTGCTTACAGCCAATAAGATAAGAAATAGTATGGAATAATTGACATAAGTGGATGTAAAGGATTGGAATGACAAATGTTATCAATGATAACTATATATATAAGAACAAGTCAGATGAGTCACAAAAAGGGTATTGTACTAACCCTTTTTGACGGCGCACGTAAAATTTGCTCAAAGGAATGCTTGAAAGAAGAAATTGCTCTCATCACTAAGTGTCTACGTCAAAATACATATCCGGTGAAATTCATCCATTAATATGCAAATACCAACCCACGGGTCAAGTATGACAGAGTGGAAAAGAAAACTTGCTTCTTATACTTACGCTTTAAAGATGAAATTACTGGAATAATTAATCATAGAATAAATTCCGCGTTGAAAGTGACCTACCCAGCAGCAAAACTGACGATGGTATGAGAAACGAACTGCTCACTCAAACAAACTAAAATCGACAAGTCCTCTTTCCACAGTAGCTACAACTGCATTTACCAATTCACATGTACGGGCCAAAGCACATACATTGGAAGAACTGAGAGAATATATGTTCGCATTTCTGAGCATGTTTCAAAGAAATTGAGGCTGAGAGGGACTAAGGCTCTCAACAGTGCAATAGCTCGGCATTTACTTGACACCGGGCATACCGTTGACATCTCTCATGCTTTTAAAATGATTAACAAACAAAGAAGTATGGCTGCTCTCCGTTTTGCTGAAGCGATCGCGATATAAAAAACTTAAGCCGGATCTATGTATTCAGAAAGAGACAGTAATAAACTTATTACTACTTTGGTAATCCTTTTTTGTGTGTTTGGTTATTAGTTTTATTTTGTTAGATAATATTTAGTTTATGTTATATTCCTCTCCCATTATCGAATTCTTAAACCACCACATCACTCATAAATGTCCATTCACTTGGCTCTCTTAAATTATGTGGACTCTTGAAATTCTATTCAATGACTACGTAACCCATCTTATCAGTTTTTTAATCCCATGAATCCTTCATTACTTCTCAACTTCACTCGACTATTACACCACCCATCTTCAATGTTTCCTTGATTCTAACACCTAATAACCTCTGACCTATTCTTGCACTTACATATTTGTTATCTCAATGTAAAATTCTAATATATATATTTGGTTGTAAGCAACTAATTGCATGAAGTTTTTTATGAGAAGGCTTTATTAGCTGTTTCATATTTGTAATGAGGAAACTTTCAATATTTGGTATGAACACAGAGCTAATAAACCAATGCTTATTCAATTAGATCAAATTACATTCATTTGTATAGCGTAGGAATTAATTTGTTCTACAGATATTCTATTAGAACAATAAACGCGATACTGACGATCTCGGACAACTTGGCTTTAAACTTTATATCTATTTCTAAATGTAAAAACAACTAAGTAGGACGTACAAAACATACCGATCCGTATTACGTGTCTTATCGAAATGATTAAAAAAATTTGAGTCACACTAATATAATAAGATAATTATGTCCTTCAATTGGTAGGACACAAGCAACAAGGATCAGTCTACGCAGACATCAGACTAGATTGACGTAGTGGGTATTTAAGCAACATTTTGATTGGTTTGTTATGGATATAACTAATGTTTATAGAGTAAAATGCCTTTTGTAGCCAGTCACTTGTATTAAATTACATCAAAGCAGTCATTAATTGTGCTTGGTATAATCGATTCTAATGTGAAAAAGACAAATTATATCAACTACTTCACATTAGCTTATACATACTTTATATTGAACTTTTAAATGTCACAAATATTTGTTTATATGAGTGATATTACGTAATAAGATGAATCAAGGACTCATCTTCAGTCACGTATGTAAGACTGTAGGCTTTAGGTTGATATTAGCACAATTAACTATTCAATTTGAATAATGAGCCAAGAGCCCCTAGATGCTCTGGTTCAGCAGAGAGTGGGGAGAGTTCGCTCTCCTTTTCGAAATCCTCTCACATGGCCACGCGTATACAGCTACTTTCAGGGAATTCCTACTCACTGCATCCTCGCGATGGCGGTGTTGTTTACGAAATTAAGAGGATGAAAAGCGAATGTCTCGCGATTCAAGCAGGTTGGTGAATATGATGGACCCACCTAGGTGGGTTGGAAAACCTTGATACCAAACAAATGATTCACATCGTTGGTCACCGGATACCATGAGAACGTCGGAGGCTCCGGGAGTGACCTCCTAAGAAAAACACCTGCCTTAGTTTGGGCATCTGCGCAGTATCACAGCCCACACATAAATCAAGTGACTTGTGTGGTGCATATGTATTCGATGCCCCCTGAGATGAATTGTTGTCCACAGGATTAGCATGTAAAATAATGATGATAGGATCATCCATTATCAAAAATTGATTCATCAAAACTGATAAAGTACTATAATAAGAAAAGGTTGTATATAAAATGATAATAATATTCCATGAACAAACGGTATAACAAACAATGAATAATGGATTTAAAACTCATAATACTTAGTGTATTATTGTTATGAGAATTTGTCCAAAAGCCACGCATTGTGATAAAATAATTTGGCGATTTTTGGCAAACTCTAAAATAACAAAAGAAATTTAATAAATCAGTTAAATGTAAACATAAACAAAAGTTACCAAGACGAAGATTATTGGAAATTCTTGAAATCATGAACCAAACTTACATTGGTAATCATCGAAAACTTGAAAGCATTGAACAGATGACAACTGAAGGGTCTCATACTACTCATTGATTTTGAGTGATATCAGTCAACGTGTTCAACTATTGATTATGCGAGTTGTGAGGACTTTTGTCTGATATGTTGTATTTGACTATATTATTTAATTCAACAGTCAATGACTTTAAGAGTTACACTTATTAGTGAAACTTTATCTCATTAACTAGTTAAATGGAGGTCCAGTAAGTCTAAATATACAGAACCTTGTTGATTATCTACAGTACCACATAAAACTAGGTAGTATGAGCTAACTGATTTAGTATAAAGCAGACACGAACTTGAGACGGGTCGAACTCAGGACTTTTCGATCTAGTAGTGGACGTATTACATTTAAAACTAAATCTCTACAAAATCTCCAGTTAAAATTCCGCAAAGGACCAACTTCAGGATGAATTCTTAAAGGGTTTGTGAGTTGTGACAATTGAAGTCCAATTATGTTAAGAAGGACAGTCATAACCGATTGGGTTGAATAATAGTTACAATTTATCTGGAAAACATTGTAGTCGGAGATTCGATCCACTGGATCTCAACTTATTGACCTAAAAGCGACGCAGTGACAACGAAACATGGTCACCGGCTTGATTCTCAGTATGACAGTGATACGTACTGCTAAACCTCATACTAGGACCGATTAGCTGTTTGTTGTTCTTTGCTTTTCAATGGTACTCAAATCGATGTCAGTTCTTGATGAAAATAAACTATAAATTGACCTCATTTTCACAAAAATAATCATCTAGAGGTTAATGTTGAACCATTTGAATTATAAACAAGGACGTGAAATAAACAGAGATGAGTTAAAAGGAATAATAAGAGCTTTAAATTTCTATCGAACGTGATGAAATATGATTAGTATATAAGGTATCACCGGTTTATTTATATTCAACAAATTCAATCAGTACAATGTTCACTCAAGTTTCTGACATCAACTTTAAATGAAAGCTATATTACCAACTAACTCCTGAATAGTCAAATGGGAAAATATACTATGTGAAGTTAAAATTCACCATGAAATTTCAAAGTATTAAAGATGAAAGTATAATGTGCTGACAACCTTGGGCGAACTATCAGGTAATCAGGAGACGCTAACGAATTATAAAAGAATTAACAACAATAAGCAATAATAGCTCTGATCTTAATAATCAACCTTCCTATGAAGAATTATTTATTTTAATAAACGAAAAAGGTTAAGGTTTGCAGCGTTGTGAGCTAAGACTATTACCCCAAATAGATCTTGTCAACAGATAACACTCGAGATAACACAAAAAGGTTAGAGTTACGCTGGAGTTCTAAAGTGCGTGTAAAAGTCAGGGTTGAAGTTTTCGTCAAGAGATGGCATCGACTATAATGCAATTATTTACCATCCGTCTGTTTACAAACTTATAAAAGTTGAGATTCGAGTTAAAAATTAAGGAATTGAGTGATAAAATACTATCTAGCCTCACGAAGCACTATTGACTACATACTGAATTACATCAGGTACTTAACCAAACATTCTAACTTAAGAGTGTAAGTGTTTTGTAATTTATCATGGGCATAATCTAAAATTTTCTGGTTAGCGCTTTTTTAGCGAGTTAGTTTTCTACGGGATGGGGACGCTAACCCCATGCCCAACCCTCCTCCTTTATCCGGGCTTGGGACCGGCAGTAGCCCCCGGAGGGACTCCAGGCGGCCTATGCTCCATTGGGAGTAACATGCGGAAGTAAGCTGTAAAAAGTAATAATCTAAAATTCACTTTTTGGTTGCATAATAGATATTGTTTTCAATTTCAAACAATGCCAATATTTATTTTGCTTGTGGTAACATCATAGTTATCTACCATTGCACTTCTGTATGGTTAACTCAATGCCATCAGTATATGATACCTTTACCCCACTAAACTAAGAATAATTATAAATGTTTTATCTTGGCAAAGATTTTCGTATACATCACGTTAGAGTGAAAGGTTCAGTCAAATTATTGTAGAACTGATTGCTATGAATCAATTGAGAACTGTGAATTCAATAGATGTGCAAAGCAGTGGTTCTTTGGTATTCCGTGTCTACAAAGTTTCATAAGTCGACATACTAGTTGAAGAGGATTGTGAACTGAGTTTTACCATTAGTGACAGAAATAAAAAAAACTCAAATAAAGAGAAAGAACAGTTAAAATGAATAATTTCATACCTAAAAGCGTCATGAATACAAATGCTGCTTGTTTTTTACTGCAACCCAATGGACAAAGGTTTTCAATGTCGATCGAATAAGAATTTGACTCTATTAGTTGACTATAGAGATATCTAAATTGAAGAATCAAAGTGTTATTATATCCATGTAGGGAAAAATACTAAATATATCTTCAATACGTAGATGGATACAAAACAATCATACAAATCACGATTAAATTGTAGTAAAGGTTGAATCAAGGGTTACACTGTAATGGACATATCAACAACAGAGAAAGTTGATTTGTAAGTACGAACCCATGAACATTTTAATGGAATTCGGAAACTTAACACTAACAAAAAAACACTAAAAACAAAACTTATAGGTTGAACCAATTAAACATCAGTTCAGGCCTGAATAATAAATGAGAGTTGATGAGTAGTGAATACAATTGGTCAAGATTTAGTTTAATTTTCCGAGGAAAAAGATATATGCTATCAGTTGACTCAATTTTCTGTGTGGTTGCGCCACAGGATTGAGCTGTACTATTCAGATTGTAGCGTTAAAGCATATACGGTGTCTGGTTCTCCTGAAAACCAATGTAAAATTACCCTGACACACAGGGGTATATTATATAACTGTGAATGCCCCCAAATGCTCTGGTATGGCCGAGAGTGGGGTAGTTTCGCCCTCCCTCTCGAAATGCTCTCACACGGCCACGCGTATACAGCCTCTGGCAGGGAAGTCCTACTTACTGCCTTCTCGTGGCGAGGGTGTTGATTACGAAAATGAGAGGACGAAAAGCGAATATGCGGCACTTTAACCGGATTCCAAACCAATGGTGCACATGGACTCCAGTATCCTGCGGGAACAAATGGCGTATGAACCAATTGTTGGTCACCGGCTACCATGGGACTGCATCTCCTCACGATGCTCCACTGCCTTGTGGGTCAGACCTTTAGGTCGAAGGCTCGGGGTGTGGCCCCCTAAGAAAACCACCTGCTTCGGTCTGAGCACCTGGGCAGTATCCCATCCCTCACACAAATTGAATGATTTATGTGGCCCATATGTATTTGGTGCCTCCTTGTACCAATGTTTATGGGTTAAAATAAAATAAATAATAATAAAATAATAGATCTTAAACCGCCTGGATGCATCATTATTCCACAACTGTAACTGGTGAAATGTTCTCAGATTACAATAAACTTAATTATTTGTGATATTAACTTCTGGGTATGGTAGTCCTTATAGTTTTAATATTACTTACAAATCTTTCGGGAGAAATATAAAAAGAAAAGAAACAAGTGAACAATTACAATTACCTCCATAATTGTGATTTATCATGAAAATGTTTTCCCGATAAAGAGGAAACTTCAGTAGGCAGTTGAGATTGATCAGGTAGTGCTTCAACTAAATTGGGAACAACAGACGTAGAATCTACAAACAATCAAAGGTAAAATATATACAACACATAAATAATAAAAAGTAACTACTATATATGTTCTGAAGATAAACCTACAGAAAAAAGTGTTTTACAGATAGGACAATATTAATTTATTTATTTGGGGGAAAGTTTGTGTAGGCAGTCATGTTTTTCGCTTTGAAATTCATCAGTTATGGACGTCCTAGAACACTTTTATACATAACGATGAACTACATAATATTCAGTCAGAAGCGCAGAACCTATCACCTATGTACGTTGATTCAACTTGTTATGATATATCAATATAGCAAGCTCGAATTATCAACATAAATGATATACTGAAAATCGTAACAGCATCAGAGTAGTGGGAAACATTAGGCTCAAACGATATGATTCGAGAAGAATGAATAAGCATTCCGTGATCGACAGAGCGACATTTCAACTACACTACAAATAATGAGGATTCTTGAAAACTAGTCTAGTTTTTTCAAACCATACCGGGATCTTGTCAAACAACAATGCACCAGTGTTAACTAGGCTTCAAAATAATTGAAGTAGTCGACACTTTCAACAACTTAAGCACAAGCATTCACGTAGAACAGTTCCAAAGCAACAATTCACACTTAGAGAGAGATATAAATCCCGAACAAGTTTGCATTGTTGCTTAAGGTGATCAGAGGGCTGCATTTTAGCGGCTTTTCTATCAGACAGAATTGTCACTATGAGAAGATGAATCAATATAATATCTTAGTAATTAAGCGATTCCTGAAAAAAGTAAGATGACGAGAGGGCTATCTCTGCTTGATGTCATTATATCTGACCGCAAGCTCAAACTCGATAACTAGTAATTCGGCAGAGTTTTTAAAAGGTCTACGAACGTTCGGGTACGTTTTTCAATGAAACAATAGCACGAAATATGTTGGTTGAAAAAGCGGAACGATGCCTTATGGTCAAAAACATATCACGTCTACTTATATTGTGATGCATACCACTTTCATCTTTGATTATCTCTGTAGCTGTTCCTAAAATATACTTTGTATCACAAATAATTTTATTGCAGTGGATTTCCTGCTTCAAGTAAGAAACAGCCAAAGGTGTGACCGGCTTAGAACATCATTAGTAAACGTCTGTAACTCAAGACGAGCGACAGTTTATAGCTAAACTTCTTTGGCGATGTGGTCTAGTCACATCGTCCAGTGGAGATAAAACTTGATTTAATGAGTGAAAATATTAATAAAAACATAAACTAACCCAACTCATTTTGTTGTTGCAGATTTTCTTCAGGTTCTTCAATTACAGGAACTAATGTTGTACACTCAGTAGGCAAAGATGTTGAAGTCCCTGGAATAGGGAGATCTAGGGCTTGACGAGTTATTTCAGAAGCAGTATTATCACGTACATTTGTTATATCTGGGATAGGTTGATCACTAGCACCCCCAAAAGATTCTTTCATTTGCACTAATGATTCACGCACACTGATCGTCTAACGTAATATAAGTGAAAAGAATTGATATTTAAAAAGAATTACAATCATAACAGAATAACCTTCTATGATACCCAATACATAGCGGTGAAATTGGAGTAAATCACTAAAGGTCAGATATAGAAAGTGGTCATATCATCCCTATTGAGATGATTGAGTAATAAACTTTAACAGACAAGAAAAGTTTGTGTATATTTATATATATGAAGAGGTACCAGTTTTCATAGAATCGTTTGAGTGTCTATGAAATTAATGAACTTGTGAAATAGGGATCTAAAAGAATAAAGAAGTAAAGACCCATTCATAACTTCGGTGTAAAATAATTAATCAGCTAAATGTAAAACTTCAAATGGATCAAGATTATAAAACTAGAAAGGCAGTCTAACTCTCGAGTTAATGAAAAAGTCGAACGTTTGAAGTCTGCTTTGTGAAGTGAATTCAGGATAATCTTTTATGCATACAAATTTAAGAAAACATACAGCTAAATAGCTTAACTTCAAAGACCTTTCAGTGGTGTTCCAAACAATGTTAACACAAATGAGAAAGGTATTAGTACGGAAGGGCAATATTTCCAAGATAAGACTGGTGTAAATTAAAATGGTATTGTTTACTTGAATCTTCCATTGATGTTTAAGACTGAAATTGATCAGTTTCTTATTAGCATATGTGCATACTGTGTGTATTGCCTTAATTCACAAACATTATAGGCAAAGACAAACTGCAGTAGTTAAATGGATAACGCGATGGTGTTCGAAGCGAACGGTAAAATGTTTGAGTCTCAAAAAGTGAACATCAACTCTGAGACCCAATGCAGGCACATCAATCTATCATTGCTTATAAGACTGGTGTATTCTAAATTGTGTAGTGTCAATAAAGCAATTTATCGGACAGATTACGTCAAGAAATGCTACGTGGGCAAACCAATAAATCAAAACAACGGAATGTGATCACTGTGGAACAAAAGTTATTACATATTAAATTAGTTCTTGGTATTATTATTTGATACGAATCAGCCTATACAAATACTTCAGCCCTGATGCTCGTCACACTTGAAGATAGTCAACACCGGATGATTTTGGTAAATTAGATTTTAATCCATTCGGGACAAAATGACATAGATATAAAAGTCACAGGAAAAACAACCTCACAATGTCATTACCATTACTTTTTTATAAAAATTAATTAGCTTAAACAATTTTTATTTGTGAAATGAATCCGTTCAAATACAAACGGATTGCCGATGAGATCAGTCCTCATGGACCGATATTAAAGAAAAGTGTTATGTTATCCAAACAAGATGAGTTTAAATGATGCAAATCATATAACAAAAATGGTATGAATAATTTTGTTTTATCTCACCTGATTATTGGTTACATCAATTATATTACTAGTTCCAAAAATAGATTCAGATCCAATTAGAGAAGAATGATCTCCAGCAATTCTTTGAATTTCTACTGAAGATTCATTTTCTTCTGTAATAGCATTCATTTTTATTGATAATGATTTAGTAGGACGTTTAGTTTGGATTATATCATTATTTATTGACAAATCATCTAATTTCCTTTTTTGTAAAGCTTTTTCACATAAACGCCGATGATAACACCAAAGCTAGGGGGAAAAAAATACACATATTGATCTTAAAAATAAACTATTGATATGATCCATTCTAATGTCAATGTTATATGAACTGATAAACTGTGCTTTAAATTGGCTTACCACTATTTGTACGGATAAGAAAACACTTGGTTAGTTGCTGTGAATGCTACATCCAATCAGTCAGTTACAAAGTAGGATCAGGCATATGTATGCATCGGTCCAAGTTGCCACACCACATTAGCACAGCAAGACGAACATCGGACTCATAGAATCAGTTAAATCAATGGTGTAATATATAAAAAGATTTTATGTAAGGATATAGTATAGAAAGAAAGATATGAAACAATTTTAATCTCATAGTTTAAGGGCAGATGATAGAGAGTGTATACAACTACACTACATCCAATACAACAGTTTACACATTACTTTTTTCTCACAAAAGTATAAGAGTAGAAAATAAAGCACCACGACAACATTGAACTGATCTAACATGTTTTCATTGTAATAGTTGTTTTTTTATTCAGTTTTACTAAGAGGAACTAACTTCAAAAGTGTTCGGGGTGTTGAATATCAAACTCTAGTAGTTTTGGTTAACTTAGAGTTTTTAATCAACTCATTCAACTGGAAAAAAAGTTGCAGTAAACTAATCTCCTACATAAATAACTATTTTAACTCGTTGTGTAGAAAAGATGTACGGATATATTTTATAAATTAATACAGCATCTGACGGTAATATACATCAATAAGACGATGAAAGACGAACTGTCTAAATATACAGACTTAAATATTTACCGGAATGAAAATAAAGATTTGATGACGAATGCTATGCCTAGTGATCAGAGGAAAGGTGAGAACTGATTGATAAATTTAAATTTGAAACTGAGATGGTCAGAACAATAAAACGTATCGTCTGAAGATTGTCAAATTAATTTCAACAACGGACTAAACATCATATATTGTTGAATTAATAGTTAATTGATCCGATTATTCAGGAAAACGAAACGAAACTGACAGAGCTTATGAAAACATTGAATATTTTGATTTAAGTTAGGCTGATAATTACTTCTCTTAATTCAGTTACATCTATAATCCATAAAACGTCTGCTTAAAGTCAACATCAACTCCGTTTTTATTAAAAACGCCGTTTTTACTGGAATGAAAATATGTCAGATAGGAAAATTCTCTTTGTTACAAGTAAGAAGTATAGATGCAAACAAATGACGTACTTCACAAAGTCTTAAACTAAGAGCAGTTTCCAGATTACTGGGGACAGAGAATAATCGTGAAACACTCCGAGACAACAGATATCGTGTTTGACTGCGTGGAGTTGATTCAGCCAGATAAATGTCTCGTGTAACCATAGTCTCCTCGCCATGTAACATGTTCCAGCGTAATTCTGATGCTGTTAGTCGGGTGATTTCATCAATGATGAGCTTATTAGAATGCTTTTTTATACGACGACGATGCGTATTCTCCTCAGATTCGACAGGATGTAATGGATTTAATCGAGATAACGAAATTGGACATAAGTTCTGTTCAGAAGCACTAGTAAAGGTTCTAGTCATAGAAGAAATACCAAAATCACAGATATATGAGTATAAATCTTCACTACTAATATATTTTACGTAATGTGAATATGTAGTTTAAAAACTCCATTGAGTAATTAAAAAAAATGGAAAAAACGAATAAAAGTCTTGTTACGTCCAAAATAAGTTGATATACATAATTAGACATCATGGTTTAAATAGGTCTCAACACATTATATCGTTTCAGTGCAAACAAATGAGTTGGTTTATAGTGGTAACCATTTTGAAAACAGGATAAAAAGACGTTGATTCTCAGCTGTTCTTCCATCGATGAACACTTTAAAATCAACCAATTTTATGACAAAGTGTCATAATCACAATAACTCCTATGATTGTAATGAAAGGGTTTCAGTCTCATTATTTACGATAACAAAATGTGGTCAATCAAAATTTTTCAGAGTACAATTTAATTCCTGAAGTAAGCTGTTAGGCTCAACAAATTTGTGTATGATCTGGAACATAGGCTTTTTGGTATTTCTGGAGTGATTTAGCTTCCTCTTTTGACAAAATCCATTTTTGTGATCCATGAATTTACATTTTCTGCAACGATGATAACATCATTGTCATGACTGAACTAGGCAATAACCATAAAAACTAAGAGAGCATTCTAAAAACGTATCGTTCGACTAAACCATCTCTTTTACATATACGTATATTTAAGAAAAGAAGCGGGTTATCCTTCTCTTTGTATGAAAAAAAATTTGCATCCTGTTTTGTTACCGATAACTATGATGTCATATACGTATTCGCTCATAAAGGTATGTATTTTCGAATGGATCTTTAGAGAAATTTTCAATATGTGTCATAAACACATCAGCTAATAATGACACATTCACATAAACCTCTATCAATCTGTTGAAAGGATTCATTTTTAAATGTGAACTAAACTAAGTCGGTGCATTAAAGTAACGAATCTTTAAGGATTATTAGAGAAATGAATAAATGATAACCTTCATATTTTTATATCATTATTCAGATTTAGTAGAAGGAAGAACTATATTAATTTTTGAATTGGTTATTTGAAGCGAACGATAATGGGATTGAAACACCGGAATAAACATCAACTCTGGAGTGTAGATAAATCAATCTGGCGTAATTCAAAATAGGATGAAACGCATATCCTGGATCCCATTTGATAACGATCATCCATCTCTACTTATAAAGGTGTTTTAAGTTTTCTTTATACATTTCTTTTTGTTGTGTTTTTTGTAGTAGATTTATGTGACTTGAAAAAAAAGATAAATTATAAAATGAGTAACTAACCTTTCTTCTCCTTCCTGAGGTAATATCTGAGTCATTTCTGTTTCTGTTAAAAAATCTTTAGTCAATTCAACTTGTTCTAATACAATATTCGATTGTTTGATGTTTTCCAAATGAGTAGAATTATTGATTATTTCAGTGCTGAACTGTGCAGAAGGCTGAAATAGAAAACAGATGCTGTGGTGTGAGCTACTTATATTCACATAAGTAGTATATAACGATGGTCAGGCATGGAATGTATTTCAGTAGAAGATTGAGAAAGAAAGAACGGGAACCGAAATCAATTGGTATGAAAATGCATGAACAATGAAACGTGAAACGATGAACTGATATTTGCAAAAAGAACAGTCAAGTTCGAGACAATTGATTGACATTTTGCAAATTAACTATGGTTCTCAGATTTTAGTGAGATGTTTTGTGATTTCATGTTCTTGTTCACTACAATACTACCATAACTGCCCTTGTTAAATAGAATTTGCAAACCGAAACATGGATATAAAATAATCTAAATATTAACTAAATAATATGCATGATAACGTAGTTTATAATTCCCAATTAGAAAATAAATCAATGTGGCCTATTCCGTGGTTGAACATTGTTGTATCCAAAACAAAGATATAACATGAAAACATCATGATATATCCATAAATATATTGAAAACACATAGAAGCCCGTTTAATATATAAGAACGATGATTGTAAATGTGTGAGGAATACTATTCGTTAGTTATGTAGACAAAATGAAAATCTGTTCTTTACATAGTCTACTCATACATCAGACAAAATTGATCGTTGAGATAAGAGGTGGTAGGGCATAGGTATGGGAAGCTTTTGATGCGTTAGCTCCACACTTTCAAAAGTATTAATGCCTAAGAAGAAAACCAGTGTAGTGAGGTAAGTTTGGATGTTTTTTTAGGGTCGACTTTTTCTAACTGTTTACTTCCATTGTGAGAAGGCAAGACCACTGAAGATGCTAGTTGTCCAAGGGAAACATTTCACTACTGTCACATTCCTCTACAGTCAGAAGTACAAATTCACCCTCGTACCATAAGTTAGTGCTTTGAGTTCAAATTTTTTTCCAATAGATCTATCTGAAATGGTAGAACATTAAGGAACGAGTATCCAGGCCAGTATAGCTTGATTGAGTTATTACGATAGGCAAACCCGACTACCACGTCAAGGTAGCAGCTACTCTAAGCGATGTAGCTTGTTACATGAACTTTAGAAAAACAATCCGCTGTATAAACTGGCACACACATCGTTGTACATGTAAATCAAATGATCAGTAGGTAAAAATAACTAGAATTATTATTTGATTCGTAACTTACCATTAGTGAACTATCTACATTAGTTGAAATTCTGGAAATGTAGAAACATAAATGAATACATAAGCAAATTCAAGTGGAATACTTTAATATAAATAAAGAAAGAAGAACTACAGTAGGCTCACATAGTTGCTATGACCATAGAGCTTTTCTTTTCGATTGTTCTTTGTTTCCCCATTTTCTTTTTCGGTGCCACAATATATCAGGTCTCATGTGTTCAAAATGAAATGATCAAACCTAGTAAACTACCTCGAACCTAAGCATCATTTAGTCCAACGTTTTGATTATACACAGAATACACTATAGAATTAAACTACTAAATTAGATCACAACCAAAGATTTAAATAAAACAACATCCAACAGCCCAATCGAAAATCATGAGTTGATTAAACTTCCAAATATAACGATAGTCTACATATTTTTTTAATTAGGGTAAGGCAAATGTCTTTGCTCAGTAACCAATCACACTTCATCGTAAAAGAACAAAAATTCTGTCCCACTTTGAAGATAGAGTAAATGTGAGTCGTAGCCGACTCACGTCTAAAAATCTACTTCTTAGGGAATTTCAAGCACACTGGTACTATTTCACACACCAACATTGCCAATCACTAAACAAGTTGGTCCGTAGAATATAGTTTTATCATACTAAAATTCAAGCAGATGCAAGAATTTCGTAAGAAAGAAACTTACGCATTGACTGAGTCCATAGGTACGTCAGAAGACTGTGAAACTATGCATTCATTAGCGCTTCCTTGAGCAAGCGTTTTCGCATTAGTCAAATCCTTTGAACTTGAAAAAAAGCGATTGTTAAAAAGGTAGCGAATTACAACATAATAAAAAAAGTGAAATGATAATCTCTCAGATAATTTACGATGTGTCATAGAAGCTGAGATACAATAAACCCAATGCAGTAGTACTGCATATCAATTATTGTTTCTCAACACTACACATGCACTTCGGATCATCATAGAGTTGAAAACAATAGTAAGTTACATCACAAGTCTATAAATCGCATTAAGATAGGCTTTATATATAATTACAGTTTATCAATATTAGTGCAAAAAATTCAGGCAATTGATTCAAAGTTTCAGTACGATATACTTTATGATGACAAAAAACCTTGATAATTCACAATGGAAACACACACTTCACCTTAAACTAATCAAAGCTGATGACGATGGCTACTGAGATAGCAGTAATCTTTACAGAAATACTGACTAGATAGAACTAGGTGGAAAAATTACAACTGTCGGGACACAGTGGTTCACATAAAAGATTTTCAGTTAACAAATTATATCTTCAAATCTATTTCACGTGTTTACGCTTGTACGGACACAGTTGATTAGTTTTGTTAAGTTCAGTGCAAAAGTTTAGATTTATACACACTTTATCGAATACATTCAAATGTAATAAGTATAATTAAGTAAAAAATTTCAATCGAAACTTACGAGTTCACTATCTCTGTATGTACGGGGACAAATTGATTTAATACGGAGTCGAATATGACATTACTTTCTTGTATTGTTGTTATCGGCCTTGAAAGAAATGTTTTAGAAAGTAAATGACATGATTCAAACGTATTAGTAGTACACTACATAAAAAACGCAATTCCCAGGTGAATCATTTTCGTTGTGTCGTAAAATCGAGACAGTGTTTACAAATTAATTGTCACTTCGCATTCTATCCGAATGGTCAAATAAGAACAAATTTTATGGACAGATCAACATTTCACAACTCAATTCTTATATATATTGAGGAGGATACTATAATGTCTCGAGCAGTTCTATTTAAATGTGGTATTTAAGTAATACATATGCCTAATAATACTCGTCATTATACCGGTGCTATTCTGGACTAATACAGCGTTTGAATCAAAAGAATGTTTTATTTAATTACTTATTTAAAAACATAAACATTGGTACAAAGGGGCACCAAAATATATAAGGGCCATAATAAGTGTGAGGGGTATGATACTGCCTGGTTGCCCAAAACGAAGCAGGTGGTTGTCCTAGAAGACTCTTCTCGAGTCAATGATCAAGAGATCTAATCCACAAGACAGTGGAAAAACGTTAGAAAATGCAGTTTCACGGTAGTTGATGCCCAATAATAGGTCGGTGTCCCATTTTTTCTCCGAGGGTCATTGAGCTCATCTGCGCCATTAGTTCGGATTCAAATCCTCCGAAATCCCCTAGATGGATCCTTTGTGCTCACCAACCACGTTTAGGCGCAGGATATTTGCTTTTCGTCCTCTCAAATTCGTAAACAACACCATCGCTAAGAGAAGGGGATGAGTAGGATTTACTTGGAAGTGGCTATATACTCGTGGTCATATGAGAGGAATAGCAGACTCGTTCCACTCTCGGCAGTTGGGAGCCAAGATTAATTTGTCGTAATTATTTTACAATGTCAGGCTGTAGATAAGTGAAAAAACAGTAGTGAATCTTGGATGTTAACTAAATTTTAAAAGTTTGAGGCGCCATCTCTAAACATAGCTAAAAACTTTACAAATTAAAATCAGATAATGTTTGGGTTATTATGCAGAAGATACTTGTAAGTTATCAGTATTTGATGACAGACATCTTAGAAACACTGTTCGCATCTGCTGGAATCACTGGGTAAGTTATAGTGAAGTTAGACGCAGGATATTAGGGCGCGATGATAAATCAGTTGATGAGGTTGTGGATCCTCATCGAATGAGATGGTTGGACCACGTGTTACGTGTACCCAAACACCGATTACCACGATGCACAATGCTGACAAGTGCTGAAGATGAATGGAAGAAAGTTAGGGGCAACCAAACCGAAACGTGACATCAGTCCTTGAAGTCATGCTAGTAGATGCAGTCTACTTGGTTGGGGTCCGCGTGACTGTCGAATCCATGGTTAGAGACCCTGGATGACATGGCTCAGAATCGATCACAATGGTGTAGACATATACACTCCTCGTCTTCCCTCAAACTATGAGATTGAAATTACTTTACATCTCTCATATACGCAGGTAATATCATGCCAGGATTCTTGTCACTTGAATTGAATTTGATTAAACTCAACAAAATTAGACTGTCAATTTGACAAGAAAGAAAAATAAGACAAAACAAACCTCTGAGGTTTATCTGAATGACATGATCTTTCTACTGCAGAATATTTTGTAACTTCAGCTTCACTCTCATGTACTAAATGTTTAGAAATGTGTCTCTTGCCATTTTGAATCTCAATAGGAATTAAATCTACTGGTTGAATGGTATGATGATCACGATTTATCGATTCAAGGATAAACTCCGGCAAAAAATCTTCACCAAATGAAAAACGAGTACCATTTGTCTATAATAAGACAGGAGACATGCAGAAGTAGTCATAAATACTTGTTTCAACATAGGTACCAATAAGCTTAAGTAGGGTCGGTATCCTTAATAAAAGGAACACGTAGCAGGTGTGTGAGATTTGAATATCCTGAGTAGAACATGTAACGAAAATACCTCATCAATCAATGTCCATACATAATTCACTTTTATAAGCCAAAAGACGATTGTCATATTAACATGTATCCAATCTTTTGTTTTCTCCAAGATTCCTCTGGCAATTTCGTTTTTTACTGATTTACCATTTTGGAATGTGAGACATGTTACTAATAAATTAGTTTGTTGGATTTGCAGGTTGTTCTAGTCAGACCTACACAACAGAGATACAGCTTTAAATGGTATAAATGTCTACTGCTAGGTAATAAATGGTATGGATCAAGTCAGTGAAGCAATAATTAGAGTTAACTCTTCATAGCCGTTACTCTGTCTTCGTTTGTTGTTATGAATTATGAGGATAACGAAAAGCTATCGAAACGAGGAAGGTAGGGAGATATACATTACATAGAAAACCAGTCATATGAACCGTAACTCGTTAGAGTAATAGAGAAAACGGTGACTCTGGTAATTATGCACCAGACATTGATTCAAATGTTAACTTAAACCGCCATGGTTAACGTAAGTCATTAAGCCTTGTGTTAATGCCAAACTGAAATTACATTTACTGAAATCACTACTAGACTGGTCTTTGATTATACATTTACAAGCGCACATTCCAATAGCCCAGTGTTTTTACACTTGTGGATTAACTTTGCTTTTGTGTGTCTATGTATCAAAAGTATATTTGGTCAACTTTAACAAGGATTATTTCGGTTAAAGTTCGAGATTTTCTTCAAATTCGTATTGAAGTACACTATTTTTGGTTAGTTTTGCACCTTCTGGGATCTTGTGTATTTTTGTCGGTTTTTCTTTTGATCGGACAGAGTTTATACAGTTCTATTGTTTGAGGTTATTATCCATTGAGCAAATGTTTTGTAAGTTTTTTAACAACGATTGGCTGTGTGGACAGTATTATATTCTAGCGAAGATTAAATTACGAGACCTATTAACGGACAAATATTTTCTATATATTCTTATGTTATAATTAGATTATGTACATCTATATTTCCCATGTTATAAGCATCATTTCGACCTAAATATTATTATTGTACGATTTACTGTTCTTAAGCTATGTTCAGTTTATTGACTACTGTCTCCCACATTCACAGTCACATTTTGGCTTTTTTGTGTATAAATGTTATTTCCTATTTTATGGTGCGTTGCGGTCTGTTTGGTTGATATATAAACCAAACAGTATGTCTGAAATAAATGATTTGATTCGCATAGTGGAGGCTGTTATTGGTGTTCTAGACTCGGCTGGTGCACATAAAACGTCCTCCAAGGGAAGTATGAAAGAACTTGCTTTTTATTATGTGAAAATGCACATACAGTGTAATTGATCGAGGTATTTCAAAACCAACGTACATGTTGAGTACGTTTTAGTGGAAAAGAAAACCTACTTGTTATATCTGCGCTGTAAAGGAGATTAAATCACTGAAAAAATCAACTACGGGACAAATGCCGCAAAGAGTACTGCTTATTTAACGCCAGGACTGACGGTGTTACGCGGAACGAACTGCTCATTCGAATAAAGAAACATGGATAGATTACCTTTTCTCAGTACTTTCATATGCATTTATCAATTTACATGTAAGTGGCAAAGAAAAGACATTGGAAAGATCGAGAGAAGAGTAAATATTCGCATTTCTAAGCAAGTTCCAAAGAATTTGAAATTGAGAGGAGGAACAGCTTTAAATAGAACGATAGCTTGGCATTTAATTGATACAGGGCATACAATTGACATTCCCCAATCCTTCCAAATTATCGGCGGACAAAAACATAGTCAGTAACCAACTGATCAATACCTTGGTAAATGCACAGTTCTGAACAGTATCACCTTCAGTTATTATTTCTATTATTTTATTAGCGTTTATTTTGTAAACTAATTTTTATTTTATGTACACCAAAATCATCTTTTCACTCAGCGATTTTTTTACGTCCAATTAATTATCTAAACTCTATAAATCTTGTCTATTATTATCATTATGTAACCCATCTCATCGAATTCTAAACAATTACCATTTTGACATTTAGTAAAAAGAATGAACCGAGCAAAGAAATTTCTTTTAAATTAGTTTTTCAATATGGTTTTATAGTCATATATATGATTTGATACAATAAAATAATACTCATCGCCCAATTTGTTTATTTTTTAACAACTACATGTCTTTTATATTTATTCACAAGTTCTATAATTCATCACGCGATCTACTTCATTCTTTTTCAAGATTTCACTTAATTACTTTCTAACACCTTAAGATATACTCGTTAACTAGCTGATTATTAAGAAGTGATTTAATACTGGCCTACCGTATGCTGAACGATAATTTTGGTATGAATGTTTCATATTTTTCATCGCCTAGAACTAATCATCTGTGATTACATTTTTAAAAAATTTGAAGATCATGACTAAGCCGTTCACGGCCTAAGTTTCTTTACAAGAACACGTAATATCTATTTATTTATCTAAACACGTAAATATTAGTACAAGGGGGCAAAAAATATATGTACACCACACAAATTATTTGATTTTTGTCAGGGCTGAGATACTGCCCAGGTGCCTAGACCAAAGCAGTTGGTTTTCATAAGGAGCTACACCCCGAAACTTCGACCTGAAGGTCTAGTCAACAAGGCAATGAAGCAACGTTAAGAGATGCAGTCCCATGGCAACCGGTGACCCACAACGGGTTTATACGCCATTTTTTCCCTCAGGATCCTGGAGCCCATAAGCACTATTGGTTTGGAGACAGGGTTTTCTAACTCCCCGAAGCCGATCCTCCGCATCCACCATTCGCTTTTCGTCCTCATAATTTTGTAAACACCACCGATGCGAGAATGCAGTGAGTAGGACTTCCCTAGCGGTGTTTGCAAGCGCGTGGCTATATGAGAGCATTTTGAGAGTTGACACTTCTCACTCTCGGTCGTAAAGGGGCATTTGGGGGATACCAGTACCTGTTGATGTATTCGGGGCTAGACTGGGTTTCTATGGTACTACGAACTGCAAGGACTAGTATAGGTTGCTTGACGTCTTATCCTTAATACTGAAAATTGACTTCGAAACGAGGATTCGAACTATAAACATTCTATAAGCTTAAATATCTAAATAAGACGTTCTAACTTGGGCAAAAAACAAATATGGCGAGGATTATGAACAACATACCTCGACCGAAGGGTCTTCCACCAAAGTTATGTCTTCATTTCGTGCTTGATACAGAGTTTGTGTATCCATGAAATCCAGACAAGGTTCATTGATACTGGGCCAAAACAAATCAGGCAACTGAAGATTTCCAAAATCATTTGTTTCGTTGTACAAGTTTAACAGAGGTACTTCAGGATCATCAACTGGTACGCGAGTTTTACGCTTTGTACGAGATTTAGTACTGTATACATAAGACAAAGAACTCGTTAGAAATGCAGAGCAAAAAATTGTGGCAAATAGACAAACGAACTAACAAACGTGAACAAAGTTTTTACCAAGTGGGTAGGTCAATGGACCGGCTTGTAGTTACAGAAGCTTTCTGGCTTAGCTCTTGCAAGTCACCTAGTATTTGTAAACAAATCGGAATATTTAATCAGCACAAAAAAAGCACAGAAAAAAGTAGCCAGTATGTCTAACTTACGTAGCATAACAATAGTTTTTTCTCTGTAAATGATACAAATACCGAAAGTCAACTGGGATGCTAAGTACAATGAGAGTCGAAGTTGTGTCTCTCCTAGAATATATGAAGTTATTTCATTGCTAGCAGCAATAAAAGATGAGACTAAACATACCAAGCAGTAACAATATTGACAGAATTTAGTTCCTTTCTTGATAGTTGTTTCCTTACCCTGGTAGCTGCCAGCCTTTAAAAAGTCAGTGATGTAAGATATCAAACCATATAATCCCGAACTTCCCTCGATGAGCTGAAAGCAAATCGATACTATAAAACATCTAAGATATATGTAACGTTCAGCCTTTGGTAAGTATGAGGCTAGTCTACAGGTTTGTCAGGCGCGGAAATGTCTATGGGGATCTGAAACAGAGATGAATAAGTGTACTTATAAGGTGATGACTCAATAAACACAGCAAAAATGTTTGCTTAATGATGATATCATGGTAAAAAATTTTAAGTCCCGGGTATTCCTAAAGCTTACTCGTGTTTTCTGTACGAAGAAGCACCCAGATTTTCCCAAACTATCTCAACTGACCAGCAAGAATAGAGGAAACAACAAAAGTAACGCGCTAAAAAGTTTCCTATTTGCCTAGTATGGAAAATAATGCAACATTTCCTATTGTTGTCATTGTAGGTTTGAAATGCCAACAAATTATCGGCTTCTTGTATAAGTAAATACCAAATCTTCCTTCCTTTGCATCTGTTCACGTACAATTTTATGCACCGCTATGCACTGATTGCTTTATATGCTTCATCTAAGACTAATGAGAACACGGATAACGTATATACAGCTACACGCAAAAGAACGTCATTCGAAAGGTATGTTAACAAATGGACATTGTAAGCTCAACGTTTCAATCCGTAACATCATTCGTATTCTTTAGGTAAACCTATTAAATTATTTCTAACTGAATCTGTCGCGCTGCCATGTAATTTAGAGGACATTTTAACGCGTTCTCCCCATACTTCTCTCTTAACTCCTTAATGATCCTTCAAATTGTTCTCCTTGTGTTTTCCTTTACTTTCTCTTTTACCTTTTTTTCTAAATAGATTCCCGGTTTGGTAATGAGAGATTAATAAGAGAATGATAGAAACAATAATACGGTGACTTAGTGGGCACATTAAGCACACTTACATACAGCTAGGATACCAACTGATAGCAATCAGTAATACAGTGCAACAATTACAACCAGAAGTGAGGCACGGTAAAGGAGTTCCTTCAAGCTCGCTGGCACGAGATTCCGAAACCGTTACACGTGCATTTGAATAAGTTACGTTTTATGTGGTACCACCTGATGTAGGTCCAATATCTATTATAATTATGATGAGCTTATGTAAATCACAAAGTTTCTTCTGCCTAGCATCGCACTGTGAACACAAAGTTTCAAATGTTCGATAGGCTTCAATATTGTTAGTAGGTGGATCACAGCAGTCCTAGTGAATATAGCAGCCATTTTGTGAAGTTGGCTTAGCTTGAATTTATGCGAATATGTTTGTCTGTAGAGAATAGAGTTACTGAAATTGGCTGTTATATCTTCGATGCACAGGAGGTTGTTTTCCTGAAGTACATAGATTAAAATACTTCTGTTTTCATTTTCAATTGCCAGCTTGGCTGAATACATCAAGGACGTTTAGGGCATGACATCACTGTTGTTCGTGACGCCTTTTCGATCATGAATCCAAAACTCAGTCAAATCAGAAGCCACGAATGAAGGATTTCGGATGTGAATTTGAAAATTATTCGATATGTCAAGAAGTGTTCGATCTAAGATCAGTAGTTGTTGCGAGAGATGCTTAGAATGACGGGTCGGCTCGTGATTTGGTGAGGATGCTTGATCGGCCGCCTCCGAGTAGGGTATGTCCCATAAGACCAGTGAAGTCAACATCAATGTCAGAGATTAACAGAACTATTTCTGTCGGGATTTATGCATCCCCATATATCACTTCCTCATGGTGTGGTTGTGATGAACATAAGACGGGCACAAAATACGTTTGAACTCAACGAGCTTGCCATTCCTATCCCTCCTTCTGATAGCTTGTTACGTCCTGAATCGCTCAGTTACTTTTTTCAACTGTCAGTAATCAGAGTGTGCATAATAGTGAAGAATATACGATGGGAAATTCGATTCATTGTATTCATCTTCTGTTTTCCATTTTTCTTCTCAGTCGTCTTAGAAATTAAAGAAACGTCAAAATATTTCTGTGTTTAAATGAATAAGTAATTTTTGCTAGGAAATGTCAGTATATCTGTGTGTGCATGTCACAAAATATTGAGAAAAAATATATATGAGAAGTTATTACCCAGTGCTTTTGTAAAAAAGCTAGTCACACATATAAATGAACGTTAACGTACTTTTATTGGAAATGTCCAAATGTTCTGGAAATCTCACAGTTTTGTTATACATCAGTTTTCGAATATTAGCGTAGTTCGGACGTGGTTAATAACTATCGGACATTGCACCTCAGTCGTTAGAATTTTGTCGTCAGATTGTTGAGTCTGAAAACCGATGACGAAGAGGTGACCTACCAAGTAAGCTGCGTATGTCATCTTTGGTTCCCTTCTTATCAGCAGCATAAGACTTTGGTTGGCGATGGGGAACTTTATCACATTCTTTGTATGCGACTTCGGGTGGATTAACCGCAACAAGTACAAACGTGTGTGCTTAATATTAAATTGAGTTGGGCGAAATCGTCGGTTGACTGAGGTCATGTAGTAGCATGTTTAACCGAACGCGTCTGCAGGCCTGGTCCTTCAGAAGTTTAAATCCACATTGTTTGAAGGCCATCATGTATATAAAAATTCTCCTCAAAGTTCTACCAAAAGTCAGAGTTAACTAAAGTAAGAATTCCGAGGAACACGAGTTGAATAACATTAGTCCTTTTCGTGATACGTTTCAAGCTGTGAGTGAAGCTTTTAACTATCAGTGAAATCGTTCTTTCCACTTACTAGCCTCTGATTGGTTTGTCATCATTTCGAACTATGTGACCCCTGAGATTGTTGTAAGACGACGGAAAAGTTTGGATTCGAACTGCCTTCTATGGTCTGTAGTATTAGATATGGGTAACCAAAGTTTTCTGACAACTACTTAACAAAGGCACTGGCCACCGTCATAACAATAATGTCATTGATAATTATTGTTTATGGCCACTGTATGTAATGGTTTATACATGTCAAGAGATAAGATATACCTTAATACAGGAAGGGTCTTACCAAATCGAGATGAACATGGACGAAATGGGTGTTAGAAGATGCAAATGATCCTAGAAGACATTTACTTCGTCTAATCATCTTAAATTTCTATCTGCTAACATAGCAGCATACCCACTCACACATCTTTGTTCATACCAGGTCGGCAAAATAGTTTTGGTATGAGTTTAACGGTTACTCAACACATCTGGGTGAGGTGCGTGCAACGTATTGAATATGTCACGCTGATGTCTCGAAAGGATTGAACAATCCCTGCTCGTAGATGTGTTGCAAAATAAAGTTTCTTACATATTCCCATCAGCTTGGTCTAGCGTTGTCAAAAAACTCCTGCTAAAGATCAGTGTCTTCCTTTTCAAGCTAGAAGAATGATAGTCTCTATCATTAAGAGCGAACCCACCAATAAACTATGGGTTTGTAGGGTTATTGTCTAGGTTCGTCATTAGTATTGCTATAGTGATAGAACTTATCCTAAAATTGCAGATTTGTTATGATGTGACAACTTAATCTATGAGATCTTATGTGGCGATCCCATCATTGTCTACCTTGATTCGTCGTATCGTAAGAATCAGCAATATAACGTCTTGAGCCTCTGAAAAACATATTTTGGGCCAAAGATAGAATAATATATTTAATGTAAAGATAGGTTATACAGAATGACCACGTCTAAGAGGATGAACCGTGTCGTCTAATTGAATTGAATGAACGCTTCCACGTTCTCCACTGTTAACCCTCTTTTCGTGTCAATTGATTAATATAAATCTTTCCAGTAATTATGTGCTCGGCTTCAAAGGTTGTATGGTTATAGTCCAGTGACACTTAAGTTAGAAGTTCATCACTCAACACTCATTCAAGAGAACTGGTCACCACACTAACTCTTTGTATTATACTACAAGTCATGAGACTACACAATCCATGTGAACATGGCTAACCGATTTAGTGTCATTGCTACTGTTCGGTGAAGATATCCGTTTAGGGATGAAATCCCCATGGTAATCAGGCAATATGTTTAACTAAGTCGATCTTCGTAAAGACAGTCGTAATTTTCAGAGTAGCTATAAGGTCATGGATTTTAGGCAAGAGGTAACAATGAGTAGTGGTTTCTGCATTCAGTCACCGATGATCACCAGTTGAACGCCAGTCTTGTTATACTTTCAAGCGACCACGTTCAAAATGGAATGCGAATGAGTTGTGTAGTTGCCGGAGATTTCCATGATCTATCATAACATCGGACTCGTTTTTACCCAGTCTTAGCTTTCGGGAGTTAGTACGTGCACTGACAAAAATACGTGTGTCCTGTAGTTGTTATATGTTGTACAACATTGCTGGTTTCGATCGCGTTTTGCAAAGTCCGGGGTACTCGTTGAGTGTCTGTTGGAGGTGCTGATCGATTCTTTGCTTCACCGTGACTAGGCATAAACTACAACCAGAAAATAAAGCTCCATAAATGCAATTTAATATTTCTGTCTACTAACCCCAATTTCCTCGGAGTCAATGAGTAGATTATGGTGTTGTAGCAGGTTATTACATTGATTAGTATGAAAACGTTTGGAACGACGAAAATCCAGTAAATGGGTTTGCATAAATCCACGTTAAGTTAAACACACATTTTGCTGATTTTTGCAGTCGTTCTTCCGCCTGCTGCTTGCAAGTCACAGACCTCATCTTTTGAACGATCAATAATTTGCGAAAAGAACTCTTATTTCTGCTCCAGTGTCGACAAGATGGCGAAACTTCATTAATACATCAGTGATGTAAATTACATGATTTTGGAGTTTGGAAAACTTCAGGGTTTTCTGAATTTTCCAGAACAATTTTTGCAGGTATTGTGATACCAACTCCAGTCGCGCTTATCTTCTTTTCGTGGTATAGAAGTAGATTTTTTTCGCAAATAGATTTTTCGAAGTTTTGTGGCGTTTGGGAATATAATGGATATGAAAATAACGAGTGAGACTAGTACAATACACTGATCATTGAGTGGTGATCAAAGTCATGTATGTCAGGTCTTCCTTAGTGCGGATCGAGTCCTGTCGACTGAGGACGCAGTCTGGCCCTCAGTCTAGGTGACTCAACATTGCGTGACACAGGATCGAATCCGTCAGCGAGCATCAGTTCCCTCAAGATTACAGGTACACCTTGTTGACGAGCGCCAAGTAGCACAAAACCTAGGTCCAAAGTTTCCTGTTGACTACCTTCAACAAAGTGAGACTATTACCAAGACCTGTATTGTAACTTTGTGCCGTTTGAGTTTTTTCTTTGACAGTATAGACCTCGGTTCTGGGGGTTCTGGTGATCAGCAGAATCCGGTTGTCATACACACTCTGATAGTCTATGGCATTATTTTTGAATGTGGCCTGAACCGCCTGAGCCTGTTGGTGAATCTTAAATGAGAAAATCTGTCCAAACAGGCTTACGTTGAATGTCTCTGGACTAGTGATCTCTCGCATTCATAGCAACATTAACGTTGGTGAGCCAAGATATAGCTCAATGTTGTGAAAGAGTCAGTCTAATCTTTGTCCGTCGATCAGGTCTTCACGTTTAGGAATATCCTTTTTAAAAGTTTCGTAAGGTTCCAAAAATCACTAGTAAACACACTAGGTGTGACGTACCTGTTAAAATTGCGCCGCAGTACTGTTAGGAATCGCACGATTGGTTCTATTATGCCGTGTGTTTGGAAGCTGGCTTCTGCACAGCAGAACCAGGCATGTATACCATCGAGTCAGAATGGCATAAGTTGAAAGGTGAGGACGTTGGAGTCTTAGTTTTCAAAATGTTAGGTGCATGTTCTCATATGATGACGAGAACGTTTATGTAAGTGTACGGGAAAATTTGATAATAAAAATAGTATCACTATCTTTAAAATATATGCATAAAAATTCAATGAGGAACAGAATCACAGTTTGCTGTTTGGTGCAGCAGATCACGTCGAGGTTCTTAATTTATGTTCAGTTTATTGATTAGAGTCTCCCATGTTCATAGTCACTTTTCGGCCAAATCTTGTACAAATGTTATTTTCTATATGATGGTTTGATGCAGTCTGTTTGGCTGGTATATAAACCAAGTATGTTTGAAATAAATGCTTTGTACAACTGGGAAAAGATATTGATGTTCTGAACTCAACTGGAACAGTTAGTCAGAGAAAAAAGACCAATAAGGATTCTAGGATGTCCATACTGGTCGAACACAGTACGAAGATTGAATAAGTCGTATTTCGGTTGGTGAATAAATCATGTGATAACTAGCCAGGCTTAAAGACACAACAACTTTATAATACACAAGTGATTTTGTCTTAGGCATTAGTAATTTTCTCACAAAACTGACTAGATAATGGCAAGGTATACATTGCATGAGATGCAAAATATCATACAGAAATGTTGAACTCTGTCAACATTTATGTAGTAAAGATTGTTTTAACGATTTGATGCAACGGATTTACGATAATGAATAGAACGCTAATAGACATATGAATGCAATGACATCATGTGTCCAAGTGATGGCTATCCACAAAACCTTATTATCGACCAAAACACCTGAATGATTCAGAATCACAGACATGACCGCTAACCGACTGAATAGGTTGTTTTCTACGTAATAGTGAAACATTTATATACAGAATATGTACACAAACTAAAAATAATAACATGTCGTACGGCTGAGTATTAGTTCTGTTAACTTTTCTACTTGATTAACGCCGAATACGGGTTACAACTACGACACTCGAACGTTGAAACTTCGCCGTCGCAAATTAAAAGACAGAAGGAAAGCTGGAGAAATGTTTAGTCTGTAAAAATCAGAAATGTACAGAAAATCACGGGTATTAACAGACATTAGCATTTGTTAAACCAACATTATATTTCGGTCAATCTCCAGAGACATATTATAATACTGACCAATAGTAGCATGCCACGTTGATATTAAAGAAAGCTCTATCATGTTCTGATTGGTTAGAACTCTTAGGCTCCTTTAGGGCCTCTAGAGACTCCGTTGTAGTCCTCGGAAGCCGACTGAAAAAGATCTAATTCTGAACATCCTACAAAAATAATCTAATAATCTGTCAAAAGAATCTTAAGAAATTATTTCTATATTCAAAATAACCTTGTTAATTTAGACAAAAACTAATTGAAAAATTCTAGGTATAATTGGAAGTACACTTTTCATTTGTAAAGTTTATTGTCATTCTAATAAGTTAAAAATTGAATCATCAATGTTTAAATATACTACAATAAACTCAATATTATGGTTTACCAAAACTGTATAACACTTAACATTGTATTGTAGTCTAAAGAGGAAAACAATCATTCGGTCTACTTAGTTACAATAGCTGTTTTAAGAAAGTCATACAAACAAAAATAAATTTAAAACAAAAAAAGAATTCCTTTAAAACGATTCACCACACTAATAATATATTTTTACCGACAAACTACGTAGTTATATTGACATAATTAGGTATCATAATGAGACATAGGGGATTTGATAGATTGAAATGATGAGTCAATTGAAGCTAGACCACTATGGAAAACCTGGAAGCACTGGACGGCCGTTTCGTCCTAGTATGGGACACATCAGCAGTGCGAATCCACGATCCCACACCTCGCAAGATTCGAACCCAGGACCTATCAGTCTCACGCCAAGCGCTTAACCAGCTAGATCACTGAGCCGGCATCCAATAGTATTAATGTTTAACTCCAACCAATCCACGGGGTGCGGGATCGTGGGTGCGCACTCCTGAGGAGTCCAATACTAGGACGAAACGGTCACCCAGTGCTTCCAGGTTTCCCATGATCGTCTAGCTTCAATTGACTCATGATTTGAATCTGTGAAATTTTTAAAATCTCCACGTACCCCTTCTGAACATAGGGGATTTACTAATAATGTCACTTGTCATTGCAAGTTATTTAAGTGAGATTATAATTTATGGATGAACTAATCAGGTATAAGATAATAGAACTTGGATTTCGGCGCGAAATTATTTATCTATTTAGTTAAAGAGCATTTAAGTATTATAGCTGATGGCAATTCGTGATGAAAATCATAAATCTAATTTCTAATCTTAATCATCAACTGGAAATAATAATTCGAATTCCTTACACAAATTTATAACCTTCATTTGATTCTGGTTATTAGTAGGAGAACAATCTTGAGGTCAGTCTATCGTCGCTCAAAGTTTGTCTATAAATTATAGTCTCACACTTTTTAGCCATATTTTTAAATATCTTAGCTGTGTGGGAGTGATAATATGATATTTAATGCAGATATGTTAAATGGACAGAATTGTATGTTCACTTCGGAATAAAGTATCTAACTGAACATGTGATTATCCAATGTATTACTTTAATTCTATTGGTTAGGTTGTGTTTAGTTGTGAGTTTAACTAGAGTGAGTTATGGTTTGATCTTCCCCATATCCCATTAACTGGTTGCTTGTGGATCTACCTATACGTTAATCAGGTCAGTCAGTAAGCTACAACGTATGAACAGGCACATATATGCGTCAGTCCAAGTTGCCACACCTCATTAGCACAGCAAGATGAACACTGAATTCATAGAAGTAGTCACTTCAATGGTAATAATGTATAAAAGAAAGACTGTGTATAAGGATATAGTACAGAAAGAAAGAGTGATATAAAGCGATTTCAATCTTAAAGTTTGAGGGAAGACAAGAAGTGTATATGTCTACACCATTGTGATCGATTCTGAGCCATGTCATCCAGAGTTTCCGACCATTGGTTCGATAGTCATGCGGACCCCAACCAAGTAGACTACATCTGCCAGGATGACTTCTAGGACTGGTGTCACGTTTCGGTTTGGTTGCCCCTAACTTTCTTCCATCCATCTCCAACACTTGTCAGCATTGTGCATCGTGGTAATCGGTGTTAGGGCATGCGTAATACGCGGTCCAACCATCTCATTCGATGAGGATCCACAACCTCATCAACTGATTTATCATCACCTCACTATAATTTACCCAGTGATTCCAGCAGATGTGAACAGTGTTTCTAAGATGTCTGTAATCAAGTACTAGTAACTTTTGAGTATCTTCTACTCCTAATTGTCACGTTTTGCAGCCGTAAAGTAAAACAGAACGAACCGTTGAGCAGTATACTCGTCCCTTAATTGACAGACGGATATCTCGCCTTCGCCATAGGTGATGTAAGTTGGTAAAAGCCAAACCAGCTTTCTGAATCCGTGCTGAGATTTTATTAGACACTAACCTATTAGAGCTGATCAGACTTTCAAGATAAATGAAGTTGTCAACTTTCGTCCATCCGTTTCCTGCACTTGTCAGCATTACATGTAGTGATAAACGGTATTCAGGCATACCATATTGATCTAAAAATACTAGAGATACGCTGACTAATTGACATATATATATTCTCATAGTATAACTATTCAATAATTAGATTATGTATATTTATATTCCCATTGTTATAAGCTTTGTTTTGACCTATAATTTATTATTATACGATTTACTGTTCTTAAGCTATGTTCAGTTTATTAACGACTGCCTCCCACATTCACAGTCACTTTTCGGCTTTATTGTGTACAAATGTTATTTCTTATTTTATGGTGCGTTGCGGTCTGTTTGGTTGATATATAAACCAAACAGTATGTCTGAAATAAATGATTCGATTTGATTCGCATAGTGGAAGCTGGTATTGGTGTTCTGGACTCAAGTGGACGAACTAGGCGGACATAGGACCAATAAGGACGCTAGGCTACTCATATCGGTCGAACGTCATTGGTTTGGCACAATGCTAAGATTGTATAAGTCGTATTTTGATTATTGGATGAATCACGTGACATAAAGTCACAACAGTTGAGATCATGAGTCAATTGAAGGTAGACCACTATGGAAAACATGGAAGCCACTGGACAACAGTTTCGTCCTATTGTCCAACTCCTCAGCAGTGCACATCTATGATCCCACCTCACAAGATTCGAATTTAGGATCTATCAGTCTAGAGCATGAGAGGTTCTTTTTAATTCTTTGTCGATTTAATGATTACATCATCCCTAGATTCATATGAAGAATATTTTTCGAATATTTTCTATTCTCTTATTGGTCAATTGACAATAAGCTACTATAGAAAGAAAGTTATTCATTATTATTATTATTATTTCTATTTGAGTTAGTTTAGTTAAAGACAGATTTATCTATTTAATACATGTCCATACTACTTTTTAAACGGAATATTTAAGAGGAGAAAACAAATATAAATAAACGAACATATTTAATACTGAAATCATACCCATTTATGCTATTGGTGTATTGTGTTACTAATGGGAGAATATAAGCGTATACATACATAGTTACAAACAGACTATTGATTGAGAATGTATACTTTCCAAATTCTTTCATAATTTCTCAATTCAACTATTGAAAATGTACAATATAGAAGTTTCATAATGGATAAAGAGCATACGTTCTTATCATTTATATTAACAAATTGGAAATTCGGTAAGTTTAACTATGGTTTATGTATACATAAAATACTTTGTTTATATATGAGTTGTTGTTTTTTGAAATAAATAAAGTTTTAAAAGAAAGATGATAAAATGGTTAGTAGTGGAATCTAGGACGCGTGTTTCGTTCCATTCGGGACTCATCAGCTGGGTATACATGCATTTAAGAATTGACATTCCTTCTGGAACGCGAACCTAGTACGGTTTGCTTCAAATGCTATCACATTATCCACTTAGATACTGAGATGTTGATAGCCACTTGCTTGTTCAATGGGGTGGAGTGAAGTTGATAACGTGATGGTGTTTGAAGTAAACGGAATTGGATTTGAGTTCTGGAGTGAACATCAACTCTAGGATGCAGGTACATCCAGTTGACGAGTCTCTAATAGAAAGAAACGTGCGTCCTGGATCCCACTGCTAGCCAATACCCATCTTTACTTAGAATTCTTGTGAACTAAGGTAGTATCGAGGCAATACGCTTAATATGCACATATTCCAATAAGAGACTGATGAATTGCAGTCCTAAACATCAATGGAAAATTCATGTAAACGATACTAAGTGATAATAAAGTTTTGTCCTCCTTCTTAAGGCACAAACAGTTTTATTAATCAAGCGATAAGCCATTGACATTTTCAGTTGTTGCTGATGGTATCCGGCCAATAGATGTTGAGTATTTTGCGTGGACAACTATTTACATATACTTGTACTCTTTTGATGATGATTGTATTAGTTCTCTATGTTTCAGTTCTGTATAGTGGAAGTGTCTTGGCGTTCGTATTGAGGATTGTGACTTTGATATTGGTTGAGAAACAGTTGTTTTGGGTTCCATATGTTTTTCAATTGTAAGAATGAGGTTCTTGCTTTGCCATCCTCGCATTTACGTCTGCTTCGGATCCTCCTTGTTGATCGATCATGCTTCCCAGATACGTGAAACTTTCCACGTCTTCCAGAGTTTCTCCATCAGGTGCAATCGCGTTAGTGTTCTCTATGTTGTATTTGAAAATCTTACTTTTTAATCTGTGTTTGTTGATGAAGAGGCTGCAGGCTACATTGTTTGTCTTGACCTACATTTGTTGATGTGTATGGGATGGAAGAGTCAAGTCATCTACGAAGTCAAAATCTTCTAATTGCATCCGACCTTTCCACTATAATCTGTGCTTCCCGTGAGATGCAGAGGTCTTCATAGTCCATTCCACCACCAGAATAAAAAGAAAAGGAGAGATTAGGCACTCTTGTCTGACTGCGGTCCTAACTCAGGATGCATCTGTCAGTTGTCCGCCATGGACGACTTTGCACTTCAGTCTGTCGTTTAAATTCCGGATGATGTTGACGACTTTTTCAGGTACTCCATAATATCGAGGAAGTTTCCATAAATTCCTCCTATCCACACTGTCAAATGCATTCTCATAGTCAAGGACGTTGATGCATAGTGATGAGTTCCATTCAACTGATTGTTCAACGATGATCTGTAGTGTCGCGATTCGGTCTTTACATGACTGATCCTCACAGAATCTGGTCTGTTGATCATGAAGTTGGGCATCTATCGAGTCTTTCATTTTATTCAGCAACTCTCTGTTGAAAACCTTTACTGGTACTGACAATAGTGTGACGTCTCTCTCTCTCTCTCTATCTATATATATATATCCCTGGAGAATAATCTAAAAGCAAATCATGCCTACTGCCAAGTAGATATTGAGCTATCGCAGTATTGGAAGTATATTGGTTCCTTACTCACACTTCTGAGGAATTTACTAAAATATGCTTCGGTACGTACATATAAACTGGTGGACATAAATGTCGGTAACGTAAAGTAAGCATTTGTTCTCGTTGAATATGTCAACAACCGATTTATTCGATTAGGGAGAACTAATTTAGAGACTGAATAATTCAATTTTGATACAGCTCATAGTCTATAAACAATTCTCCCAACTATTTCAACCAAGTTTTTTCTCTATCTTATTATGCTTCATTCTATTCGTTCTTTTCTTTGTATATTTACTGATAAACATTTGAGGATAACCATTATCTTTCAGATAATATTAAGTGTTGGCTAATTATTCTTGAATGTCGATTGAAAAGCGTTCTAACTAAAGTATGCACAACGACCAACTACCTCGACGTGCTATGTTCAGTGGTATAGGAGTAGGTTGGAAGAAAGCTAGAGGCGGCCAAACCAAAACATGGCATAAGTCCATGAAGTCACTGACAAGTGGACTGAGTCATGTTGGTAGGTGTAGACTACCTGGTTGGGGACCGCGAGATGATAGCAACCGATGGTTAGAGACCCTGAATGACATGGCTCAAAATCGTTTGCAATGGCGCAGGTGCATCCACTCTTTGTGTTCTTCCGAATTCTAATCTTCTGAATTCTTCATGTCCCTTCTTTTTTCTCTTTCCAAATTTCTTTCACTGGATTATACTCTTTAAATAACATCTCCAAACCCTAATCTTCCCGATTACTGCTTATACTCTTGCTACCTCTACCACTATGGGATTTGAATCGACAACTGCATCTCTGTGCTAATGTGGTGTGGCAACTCGAACTGATGTACGTACGTACGATGTTCTACGTTGTTACTGACTGACTGACTGACTGACTAACTAAAGTTTGTTTATTTCTTATCGGACAGAATCTATGGAAATTTAAATTAAGTTCTCACCGACTGTCCTTTTGATGGAAAAAGTGTTTGAATTCGACTAAAAATTTATTATCAGAATGGGTGGTTTGTGAAAATTTCAATAATTTTAATAGTTGAATTCACAAGTCGATCTAAGCTAGATCATTATTGAAAACCTGGGTTCGAGTCCTGCATACGGGATCATGAGTGTGTACTGTTGAGTAGTCCCATACTAGAACGAAACGGTCATCCAGTGTTTCCAGGTTTTCAATGGTGGTCTAACATTAATCGATTCATGATCTCAAGCAAAACAAAATTAGCATAAGTGTGTTTTCGAACTTATCGCTATGTATATTTATATAATAAATTTGTTGGTCTTAGATGTTTAACTCGGAAACTCAAAACTTTTGTATTTTGTCATTCTTTATTATTCTCTTATAAATAACTCTAAATCAGTAAAAGTTGTGCACCAAATAGTGGCTCCTAAATACCTACAAACAAATATAGGCTCCATATTATCTAGTGACATACAAAACGATTTGATTGGGTTAAACTGTGTAAATGACAAAACTATATTAGTATAGTTATTCCAGTGTCTGATGCAGATGTAAAGGCACGGATCGGCAAAGCAAGAGCAGCAGATATACAACTGAAGAATATCTCCAACTCAAAACAACTGTTTGTCAATCAACACCAAAGTCAGAATTCTCAATACAACTGTCAAGATAGTTCGACTGTATGGGATGGAAATTTGGACAACTACGAAAGCCATCATTCAGAAGAAACAGGTGTTTATTAACAGTTGTCTACGCAAAATACTTCGGATCCGTTGGCAACACACTACACTATCAGCAACAACCTACTATGGGAGAGAACAAGCCAGATCCCAGAGGAAGAAGAAATCAGGAAGAGGAGCTCGAAGTGGATAGGACACACATTGAGGAAAGCACCTAACTGCGTCACAAGGCATTCCCTCACCTGGAAACCTCAATGCGAAAGGAGGAAAGGAAGACCAAAGAACACATTATATTGAGAAATGGAGACAGACATAGGAAGAATGAACAAAAATTGAATAGATCTGGAAAGGAAGGTCTAGGATAGAAGGGGTTGGATAATGCTGGTCGGCAGTCTATGCTCCATTGGAGGTAACATGTGTAAGTAAGTAAGTAAGTATTCCAGTATAGGAGACGTAAGTGATTGTGTTACAGCAACGAAGCTTGTGAATCGATGACCTAATATAATTCAGCGATCAAGTGTAAAAAAAAAGATTAGTCTAAAGTACCCTCAACATATCGTGACTATTGACTTGTTAGTTACATTGTTTCAAGTAACTTCTTAACAGTAAACACATTTCAATTTTATTCTTTTCAGATGAAAATAACTTATATCATAAACGTAAAGATTTAATACATGAATTAAAATTAAATGTTAAAACATTAATGGAATATGCTTCAGTTTGTCGTTCAATTCCTGAAGATAGTACACATGTAATTAGTTTTTGTGGTAAGTTTGTTATGTCATTTAATTAGTTATATGAATTTAATTCATTCATTCAACCAGTGGGTCGTTTACTGAATCTTTCATTCAGTACAACAACATTATCTAAAACGTTTACCTCATACTGATAGTAGTATGATGCTTATATAGTTTTCATATATCTTGATATCATATTTCGCTGGTATCTTGATGTAGTATCCTTCTTTCCAGTCTGTTGATACTTGTTCTTCTTCTCAAATCTTTCTGAAGAGATTATGAAGCATCTTTATAGTTATTTCTATATCTGACTTTCATTGCTTCATTTATTATGTTGTCTGATCCTGCTATTGTATCATTCCATTTACATTTCATTCATTAATCAACTTTTTTTTAATTTAACAATAAAAAAGAGGATTATTTATTCTCTGACAAAAGAACAAATCAAATAGCAACATGCAAATATATGTTATCTTCATATTGTAAACACACTCTACCCAATCCTTAGCTTGTCTAAAATTATTTCTGATTGAAATCATGAACCGATTGATGTTAGAATGCCATTCAAGACCTTGAAGCACTGGACGGCCGTTTCGTCCTACTGTAGGACTCTTCAGCAGTGCTCATCCACGATCCCGCACCGAAGGGATTCGAACCCAGGGCCCTTAGTCGCTCATGTGAACGCTTATCCTCTAAACCACTGAGCTGGCCGGTATCCAACGGTGTTGATGTTTAACTTCAACCAATCCTTGAAATCGCGCGACCATCTTCCATTGTACTGAGTTAGATAACTGTCTCTACCCG